GGGGCGGGTGAACAGCTCTGGATGGCGCTAACCCTTTCCCAAGACCTTTGCGAGAACAGACCCAGGGAGGGGGCGACCGCGCCCGAGTACCGCTCCTCCAGGATCTTAGACTTCCTGAGACGACTAACAACCCCCAGGTTCGTTAACAGTCTTGTGTGCCGGCGCCCATGTATCGTTCCTTCCTCCAGCACCAAAGACAAGGACACGGCCTCGGACTCGGCCAACCCCCCCAGGGTCAAGACTAACGAGTTGTATAGTCGTAGCCCTTCTCTGGGACCTCGCCCCACGCCCCAAAGTCGCACCCCGTGACGTCAGCTGATCGCGCGCGTGACTGTCGTGACGAACGTGACGCAACAGAGGGGGTGGGGCGTGGCGGGTCGTGGCGGGGCGTGCCTGGTCAACCGTACGTGCCGCATGGTCGGGCTCGACGACCTTTCCCAAGGGCTGCTGCCTGGAGGAGGGGGTAGGGGGCGAGGGTTGCGGCGATGAGGCGTACGCACGAGGATTCTCCAGGACTTCTTCCAGAGCCTGTACCATGCGAATATACGAAAGTCCTTCAATTTTGTAGATAAGCAAATTGATCCACACTCTCCTGTTACAATATTCGGGGTGGTCCGTCAGCGCCGTTCTTTCTTCCGGTTACACTGCACCGGATGCAGGCGTGCGGGCGGTGTTGCTCTTGCCTATCGCCATTGTCGCTCACCGAGCCTTAGGGCGCCGTGCGAGTATGCAACCCGTCCGCACGCCTGCACCTGGTACAGTATAACTAGAAGAAAGAACGGCGCTGACGGGACGGACCATACCGAGGACGATACCATAACGGATGAAGCCATGTTGTAGTACGAATCAAATTGTCCATAATACACACGATTTCATTCGTATCATGGATGATATGTGATCCGTATTACACCCAGAAAAATCGTTTCTTGTTTGGAGAAGAACTAGACTAGAGAAAATGACGGGAAATAATCAGTCGTTCGAAATGGTCTTGGCATTTCGCTAATACCGACGAAGGGCAAAGCAAAAGAGTGGTTAGTTGCCTTACTTGTGAACAGTGCATGCGGTTACTCTATTAACCAAGCAGTGCGGTCAACAAGGTCCATAACTGTCGCGCCGAGGCGTGCCGTGCCTCAGGCGTGAGCAGCGCGTGCTGCAAAACGACGCTTGCTGGTTGTCTGCGCGTCGCCACCCCCTCTGTCTGTCTCTGCGCCCGCCCTGTCGCCGCGGCGCACTGGCGCACGTACACCCGGCGGCTTCTCCTTCGCGGCCGCTCCATATCGGGGCGAGAGCCGCCCTGACCGGGCCTGGCCGGGCCCTGCCCGTGAGCCCACAGGGGCGTGAGCGCCTTGTAGGGCACGGGGCGTGAGCGCGGGGGGAGCGACCGCGAGCCGTGCCCGCGGCCCGCCGTCTCGTCCTGCGCCGTGAACGGCTTGTTTGTCGCGCAGGTCACCCGCCCCCCGCAGCACGGCCGCGCGCGGCGCAGTCACCAGGCGCGCGGTGGCAGCGAAGCAATATGAATCGAGTCGTATGGTGTGATTTGCCTTTCGCAGACGAAGAGACTGCGAGGTGTCCGTCGTCGGCTGTGAGGTTGCCACCCCCTCGCCCTCGCGCGTCCCCCCGCGGCGAAACATAACGATGTGGGTCTCTTGCTCCTTCTCCGAAACGTCAAGACCGTGTTTGCTGCCGGTATAGGGGAGCGAGCGGGGAGGGTGCCGCGTATAGCGGGTCGATAGATCGATTGAATCGATGGGGTAGATAGAGAGGAGACCGGTGGCGGCGGCGGCAGCGCATCTTCGAACTACAATAATAATGAGATAATCATAACAATAATAAAATCACTTTGCGGCCAGGGAGCGGCTGGGCTCTATCTTCATCTCATTACGGACGAGGGTGGTCGAGGGGCCCCCTCTCCATCCCGACCCGCAGGTCCAGCGCTGCCGCCGCCCGCATGAGCGCCGCATGTGCGCCTGTGCTGGGGTGGCTTCAGGTAGGGGGGGGTTCTTGTAAGCAGCCAACACTTTGTGTGTTCCCCGTCTTGGGTGTGTCGCACCGATGGGAATCAAATTGAATCATCTGCTGTTGCAGGGAGCGGCGCATAAAACCACGCTTGTAGTGGTCCATGCCGACAAGCCTTGTTCCAAGTCAAATTTTGTCAAAATTCAAAGAATATAGCCACCTTTTGATTCACTGCTGAATGATTGACACCTCCTCCATATCACCCGAAATCTGCCAATCGGTCAAAGTGGGGTGGGGGGACCGTTCTGTCTTATCCTGCGATGCGAAGTGTGGGTGATTGATATCTAACGGAACGGAACCGTGAGAAAATAAAGTGATGACCTTATTGACAGCTGATCTGATCCGAGTGTTTGTCGTCGTTTGCAGGCCTTGGAGATGCGTGGGGAGCCGCGCCCTGTCCGGTCAACCCCCGGGAGTCGTGCATCAAGGAGCTGGGGTCGCACCTGCTGCAGGTCGGTACAACAACATATTGCTGAAGATGTATAAATAATAAATGTCACCGTCAATAATTTTTGTTACTGTATCCTTGCTCAGACACTCGACGGCTTCATATTCGTGGTGGCTCCGGACGGCAAGATCATGTACATCTCTGAGACGGCATCTGTGCATCTCGGACTTTCGCAGGTGGGAGATATTGTACCGTGATGGTGATGGGATAAAATTTAAACTAATAACTCTTTTTTTAGTAAAAGTTACCAATTTTAAATCTATCTGTTTTCCATTTCGATGGTGTAATCACCGGCAACCGCAACAGCGGGAAAACTTGTGCGAAATAGTTTAACTTTGAATCTGGCAGGTGTGGGCCTGCACCCCTTCGCAGCTCGCTTCAACTCATTTTCGCGTTACAGGTGGAGCTTACGGGCAACTCCATGTACGAGTACATCCACCCAGCAGACCACGACGAAATGACAGCCGTCCTCAGCGTTCACCAGCCGCTGCATGCTGACAACAACAGCCCTGGTAAATGCATCTCGGGCAACAACGACTTGTATCGACCCGTATATCTGCAATCAAAATTGCTCACACTTTTCTTCAACTTCCAGAGCTGGAGATTGAGAGGGCGTTCTTCCTCCGGATGAAATGTGTCCTCGCGAAAAGGAACGCTGGGCTCACCACCGCTGGTTACAAGGTGAGAATAAAACCCTCGACCCCTGCTCCCTGCTCTGTCTCTCGAAAACGTCACTTTCAATTCCTGTACTCTTTGCAATAAGTTTCCTCGAGGTATCTCTCACGGAGGAAACAAGCTCAAAAACAACAACACACTAAACGAGGCCGTATCGCGCTAGCACTGCTGTGCACTGTTAGGAATTCCTTAGGCTAAATACGGAATTCTTACGGAACTGTGTGATCCGTGGGTGCCACGGCCCAGCCCGGCGGGGCGAGCGGCGCGGGGCACAAAGTAATGAGAGACCGTCTAATGTATGCGCGGGCAGACGCGGGCCCTGTACCTTACACGACACCTGCCACTCACTCACTGCACCAGATTCATTTTTACTTTTTTAAAAAATAAAGTTTTGAACCGTGTTTTGGACTACATGCAAAATAAAGAGCGCGGGAGAGTTTATGAATGGCAGTCGAAGTACCTTCATTTTAGGCCAAGATGCAAAATATGAACTTTAAGTTGCGAAGGGGATGGTCTGGACGGTTTCTTTCGCCGTAAAATCATGAATTCAGAGACGCAAAACCACAGTCTAGTAGTCTTCCTTCCTCCTGCTGTTTAGGCCCTTCTCATCATAGAGTCTCGTCTTGTCCGCCCCTGACCCAAGTCGAGCTCAACCACCCTCCAGGCTCCGCCTCACCGCACCGCGCCACGCCACCCTCCGCTCCCCCTACGTTAATTTGCTGACTAAACACGGCCTGTGTACCAGTGAAGGGGACGCAGGGGCGGTGGCTGGTGTTGCAGCGGCAGCGGCGCGGCGGGGCTGTGCCAGTGGGGCTCCCTCCTCTCCAGAACAACAAAACGGGCGCTAGAGTGTCCTCCAGCAGCTCCCTGCTGCCTCCAGCAGCTCCCTGCTGCCTCCAGCAGCTCCAGCATCTCGGGGGAGGGGGGGGGGGAGGTATCCTAACGCGGAGAGCCTTGCCTCCTGCAGGTCGAATTTAGTTATTGTAGGTGTACAATGCGAAGAGCTGTTCTAAATGAGAACAGGTTGAAATTAGAAATTGTTCTCTGTCGTACTTCATGAAAGTATGTTGAGGCCAGAAAAGTACAAGAGGGAGGTTGCAAAAAAGAGAAAGAAAAGATGAAAGTGCAAACAGGGTAAGAAACTGTGTAAAGTGAAGGGCACTCCTCGCTCCCCGCGGGGGCGACGCGGGGGTGGGTGTGCAAGCGCATTTACACAGCTGGTCGCACTACCGCGCGGTGCCGCCAGGATCGGTTTCCAATAGAGTTAGCCTTAAAAGAAAAGAAGAGGAGAAAAGTGTACAGTCGAAAAGAGAAAATGAAAGCAATGCCCCACCAGTGTCGGCGCTCTGTTCCTTCGCGTCATGTAAACAAATGTCAGATAAACAAACCCGCCCGGATCTCGGCATTGAAATATGGCCCGATTTTTCGGGTGCTCTAAAAACTTGTAGGCGTGTATGTATGCACCCCGCTCGTGGCTGCAGCTTTCCTCTTCTCTCAGCATAGTTCGACCCGCATCTTTGTCCAAAGGGGGATGCTCTGGTTTCATGATAAAACTTCCCGTCTTTTTCTTGGCACTTCCATGAAAATAAAGGAGAATCAATGCATTTAAATTCCTCTCTTAGAGCACAAGAGCTCCACGTTTTTATTGAAAATGTACGTCTGTCAACAGAATACGGTATCTTTTTGCAATATTGCGCACAAAAAACAAGCGTCCGCAGCGAAAACGAAAACACCAGAAACTCTTCCAACATTTTGATGATCTCCAGTCTGGTATCGTTCGTTACAAAGTTCTGGAGCATTTTGGGTTTAGGCGCAGCGAGGCGAGGTGGGTGTGGGTGGCGCAGACGAGCATCGCGCAGGCGGCCGGAGGGTGGCAATGAGGAAGAGGAGGAGGAGGAGGGGGAGGGGATCGAGATGGGAGGAGTCACCGCGGGCTCCTCCCCCTCCCCCTCCCCCACTGCCGCTCCCGCAGCCAATGGCAGCAGCCAGGGATCCCCCGGGAGGAACTCACTGTCATACTGCTCTGTATCCGCGACGCGCTTTGCTGCGTCCCCCGCCTATATAGTTTAGCCGCCGACCCGTCCGTCTATCTGGCTCTGTACACTAAGCTCCATACATACATCATACATCTCCTCACACCATCTCATAATAAAACTGGACCCCTGTTGTGCTTACGTTCTTGGTGCAGTCAACGTAGTATAACGTATGCCTTATTTTCTCCCTGTTTTGGGGGACGTTTTCGTAATAAATCCGACACCCCGAGGCTCTGCCCAAAATATAACTCTGTAAGAGGAACGAAGGAAAAGTCCCAATCACATGCATGTTTTGGAGGATCCGTTGACTGATGTTTGTTTCTTTTCTGCTTGGCGCAGGTAATACACTGTTCTGGGTACCTGAAGGTGAAGCAGGTAGCCACGAGCACGTCTCCCTACGAAGCATGCTACCAGAACGTGGGTTTGGTCGCGGTTGGGCACTCGCTGCCGCCATCTGCTATCACCGAGATCAAGCTGCACTCCAACATGTTCATGTTCAGAGCTTCGCTGGACCTCAAGCTCATCTTCCTCGATGCAAGGTGAAAAATCTCGTTTCTGTTATTCAGCATTGTCTTCTTCCGCCCTATAAGACTCATGCTTTAACCTCTTTCCTGAAGTGTATAACAAATCGACGGCTTAAGCTGTAACATAAAATATTTAGAGCTTGACTGTAGAAAATGTAAGGTCGTACAATAACTGTAGAACTCCTTGCGCAGGGGAGCAGTACACACCAACCTTGGAGATATGCAATTACAAAATCATTTTTGTTCTTTATTTCGAACTGCGAAACTCTTATTCTCCGGTTCAAAGAGCTGGCTTGTTGTACACTTATTACAGTGTGGTTATTAGATTATACGCGGTGGATAAAAATACTGCTCGTATCATTTTCTTCAATCGTATTTTTTTCTGTTTTACAGGGTTTCTCAACTCACAGGCTACGAGCCACAGGACCTCATCGAGAAGACGCTGTATCAATATATCCATGGCTGTGACATAATGCATATGAGATTTTCACATCATACATGTAAGTGTGCACAGGAATAGCTCAAGGAATTTTCTGTCAAGTACTTTCAAAGAATAACACAAGGATTAATACATAGCTTAAAGTCGCATCTCTAAAACGACGGCCTGGTTTCGCTTTAACTCGAGTTCTCCCCTCCCCCTCTTCCTAGATGCCCCCTCCTAGCGCGTTCCTGTGTCTTCGTGGGTGGGTGGGGCAGAAAGGGCTTTTCTTTAAAATAGAAAAAATAATAAAGGAATTTTTCAGTCTTGGGGGGTGCTTCGACCCCACGCTGCCACACTCTCCATAGGCCCCAGGCCGCCTCACCTCACCCCTCTCTCCGCCCCTGCAGCGACAGCGACCCTCCCTCCGCTCCCGGGCCGTTTGCCACCCTCCTGTACCCGCGCGCTCCCAACCCTCTCTCTACTCCCCACCCCCGCCGCCGCGACTGCTGTGCGCTTGCCGGGGGAGTTCTGCTATCGGCTGCTGATGTTTGCTCAGCCCGTCATGTAGCCGGCTGAAGCGGGGGGTAGGCTCTGGGCGCGGCGCATAGGGTGGCGCCCGCCCCCTCCCTCCTCCCTCAGCCCCTCGCGCTCCTCATCTATCGATTGGGTTTCGCACCCCCCCTCCCCCCGCTCACCCTTTCACTCACACCAGAGCGGCGCATTATCCCCCTTTTAGCTCCGCGCTCCCTGTTTACCCCCAGCAGCCTACCGGCCGGGCCGGGCCCCACCCTCCTGCCGCTACTCTCGGCCGCAACCTGCCACGCCACACTACTGTACGCCCCTCCCCCAGGGGTTGCGCGCACAACCATTGTAGGGACTCCCAAAGAAATTTTGCAATTGAATTTAGATGAATGACGCATTACTCGTCGCGATGCGTTGCTGAGGTTGCCCTGCGCGCCGTGTATTTTGATGACGGGTGGTTTACGAACGCCTGTGTATCTGCGGATAGGCAACCCACAGTCACTCGAGCCGTGCACGTTGCCTAACCTAACCCGTCTTCCTCTCTCTCTGCTTGCAGTACTCTTCAAGGGCCAGGTGACGACCAAGTACTTCCGGTTTCTAACTAAAGGTGGCGGCTGGGTGTGGATGCAGAGCTACGCGACCATCGTGCACAATTCGAGATCATCGCGACCGCACTGTATTGTGTCGGTCAATTATGTTCTCAGGTACGAAACGAACCAACGAACCGTATAACAAAAATCATTATAAAAGTATTGTGCTTTGCTACAGCCTATAAAGTTTCATGATATGCCTTATCAAAAGTGTTCTCTAACCAGATATTTCTTGTCCTCAGCGAGTCGGAGGCTACAGACCTGGTGATGAACATGGAGCAGATCCGCGGCCCGGTGGCGCCCGTGGGCCCAACGACGTCCTCCGCGGCCCGCGAAGTCGTCGAGCCGCCAGTGTGCCTGCCGGTGGTGACCCCGGTGACGGCGCCGTCCTCTCTGTCCTCCAGCGGTACCGGCGGCGACTCGCAGGCCGTTTCCTCGCAGGCGTCGCAGGCGGCGTCGTCCCCACTCTCGCAGGGCTCTTCGCCGCAGCCCCCAGAGCACATGAGCGTGAACCCCCTGGTGCGGCCCGCCCCCGGTTCGCCGGCGTGCCCGCGGCCAGCCAAGTTTGCCCGGCTCGACGTCTCGGCCTCCGCTGTCCCCTCGGCCGCCGTCGCCCCCACCCCGGTGACCCTCCTCACCCACGTGCAGGCCGAGCCCCCGCACGCGCCACCCCTCGCGCCGCAGCAGCCGGCCAGCCTCCCGGGCGACGACGAGTACAGCGACAGCTCCGTTGGGCTCAGCGGCGGCCAGGGCGCCGCGCTCTCGTACTTCATACCGTACGAGGACACCGTCAGCAGCAGCGGACCCCCGCCCCCTTCCTATTCGTACCACCACGAGCTGAGCTGTTGGTACCCAGACCAGGGGGAACTGGCAATGACCCCCGGGACCCTGCAGCCTTTACCGCTGCCTCAGCAGCACCCGCAGCAGCGCCCTTACAGCTCCTCCTCCAGCTCGTGCTCGTCCACGGAGAGCGACCACCAGCAGGCCGCCGCTTCGGCACCGGCGGTGCCGCACATCACCGCCCTCCCGTACGCCTCGGACCAACACCAAACCTTCGCCGGTCTGCCTTGCCACTTCACCACAAACAACAACGACCACAACACCAGCAACAACAACATCATGTCCCCGACGCTCCAACATCACCAGCAGCACCACAACCACCACCACCACCACAACCACCACACGACTACTTCCCCGCACCACCACCATCTCCACCATCACCACCACCATCTGGATGTCGGGGTAGGCGTTGGGGTCGGAGTGGGCCTCACTTCAAGCGGGCACCAAGACTATCAGGACTACACCAAGAACGCCCTGCACCACCAGCCACCGGGCTACACTAGCGTAATCGTAGACGCACAGCAGTACGTCAACGAGTACGTGCACTAGAACGCTCTGGGCGTACCCCACAAACTCTTGACAATAATTTTATTTCAAAATTTATGTTGATGGTTTTGGCGAGATTGGTGTGAGGTCCAACTGATGATGACTGGCGAGTTGTGTCGATCTGCGCTTTCTAGTCCTGGGTGATGTGTTGATGTCGGCTGTCAGGGTGACTGTGTCGGCTGCGCCTCGCCATCCAGCACGCGAAGCCTTGCACCACCCTGCATATCAAACTCATTATCAATAAGAAGCTTGACCATTGGTGGGTGCCGGCCATGAGGTGTCCGTGCAGCATGTATGAGGAATGGGTATGGAAGACACAAGTTTGGAATAACATGAGTTTCCATGCTCTTGTCTCATATTTTGTCGGATTGACTTTCTTGTAGGCCCGCCTTCACGACATTGGTTTTAAAGCAGTGATATAACTTAGTTATTAATAAAATAGGTGAATAATTTTATTTCTTTCTTATTTTAAAAGAAAAGACATGTGATGTTTTGCGCCCGAGACGTACTATTCAACAAATAAATGGTCCGGCGCATTTTTATGGGTAAAAACGCTCCCTTAGGCCCTATTGACTGGAAGAACCTCGTATCTATGGTACTTACATCACCCGAAAACATGCTTGTATTTAAATCACCATCATTTTGATGACAGCTGAGCCTGGAGCTCATAAGTGAAATTGTTAAAATGGAATACTGCTGCATCTACACCAGAACCTGGAGATCAGCAACATTTTTTTTATCTTCCTGATAGAAAATGCATCAGTATTTTTCATTGTACAGTTCCCTCCAACCAAGAACGTATCATGTATCATCTACTTCATATCAAAAAAGTACCTGAAAAGTGAAAAAAATGTTCATCTCTGGATAAACTGTAAATCAGAAAAAAATCTACATCATAGATAAACAGTACCTTTTGGATCCTGTAACATATCTTTCAAGCTGTTAGCAGGTGTTGTTAGTTGGCGAGTGTGTCTTTGCATTTTACGTACTTTAGTTTTAATTAGTATATTAACCAATTGTAACCAAAGAAGTGGCACCTCATTCAAAATTGCAGGTTTGCACATTTTAGCAATTGCAAAGAATGTTGGTTAATTTATCACTCGTCCAGTTGCAAATGTCAGTCATTATTTGAGTCCATTGTGGAATTTTCGTTTGACCTTAATTTAATTTTCAGCATAGAAAAGGAAATCCTACAGGTTTGTCTTAATTACAATTCTCTTTGAAAAAGGGATGATGTACTCATTGATGAGGTAAAGAAAATCAATTGTTTGTTTCCATGAATTTAAATGAGTTTTCCACAATTTGACAGCATTCTATATCAAAGAAACACAAACATCTTAGTCATTATTTTTTTTTGTTCGCGTGTTATAACGTGCCATTGTGAAGATAATTAAAATACCCATCACTATGTTGATATTGAGATTATGTTTCTGTAAATATTTGCCAAATGAAATGAGTGTATTTCATGTACATAAAATAATGTATTCTGATTAGAGTGTACATTTTGTATTGTTCAAAGTTATTAAGATTTTAAAGAATGTGATATATACATTACAATATTATGTCTTCCATTTTAAATCTTGCATTTTCTCTTCGCACCCCTACCATTATGGCAATGATGTCATAATTTAGCATTTAACATTGAAGTTTCAAAAAACAGCACATTTATTAAAAAAGAACCAACTGGTCCACGATCCAGGGTTGTTTGTAAAAGCGTGAACACCCAATTAACATACAGCACTAAAGGTGACCACCAACCGCCCGGTCGGTGGGCAACCCATCTAGCACGGGACGATCAATAGCGCCTGCGAGGCAGGCAGCCCATTTGACATGCGTTGGAGGTGGATCACAGGTAAGTAGGGGCAGAGACGTCCCTATTGGTGACCACAATGCCAGAGTCAGCTTAATCCGACCTGACTATAGAATATCCCTTTTCGGGTTCGGGTATTATGAAATCCGAAGCCTTCAGGGTGTAAGCAGAAGGCAAGGACGTGTTCTGCACACGTCCCTGTTTGTAGCTATACGATTGTTGCTAAAGCCGACAGTGCCCGAGTCAGCTTAAACTGAATCGTCTATAGACGAATTCATTACTACCGCCAATGCTAGAATATCAACCAGAAGTAAACAGCGCTAAGAGCTTAAGCGAAAACGAAAGATATCAATTCCTCTCCGAAGCTCTCGTCTTGTCCAAGCGCTCGGAGGGACAGGGGGCGGCAGGGGCCCTATTCAGGAAAGCATTGCCTACCCTCCAGGCGTTTT